ACAAGTCTGCATTTCCTGCTCATAAATATATAATTTTTCATTACATATTTTACAGGATCAGCAAAGAATAGGGCAATGAAGAAATACATACATTAAACTTTGATAAAAGCAACTACTGTATGTTTTGAGAGATTTGGGTCTGATTACATACTTTTGGGTCTGATTACATCTTTTCTTCTTTCAGACATGAATGACTATTATAAATGCACCAGTAAAGATTATCCAAACTGGAAACAGAATGTGTGTATTTCCAAAGATTTGACATTCTTATTTTATGAACAACCTTTGGGAATCTGCTTAAGCTTCTCTACTCAACCCACCCTCCCCCCAATTCCAGATGCTGATATTAAGTCAGTTGTTGAAGAAATTGTATTACAATGTAATGAGGGGTGTGTTTTACGGTGTCTTGTGCTACATGGGCTTCTTGGCCATTGCCAGTTTTTCTGTGACTTTCCTTGCCAGGAAATTACCAGTCAGTAAGTTCAAGATAAGTTGATCACTTTCAGCATGTTGGTCTTCTGCAGTGTGTGGTTCTCCTTTGTTCCAACCTATCCGAACTCCAAGCGAAGATTGATGGTTGCTGTGGATATTTTTTTCTATTTTACCTACCAGGGCTGGCTTGCTGTGTTGCATCTTTTCTCCAAAATGTTACCTTTACCTACATTATTGTCTTGCGGCCGGAACTAAGCAATATGGAAGCGTTCATAAGAAGAACGAATTGAAAAATGAGTCTGTGTTCCTTCAGTGGATCTTTTTGAGACACATTGTTTTTAAGTTCTGAAATCTGATGGTAGTTATCTTAGAAGGAAACTCTCAGAGGCATTCTCATATACAATAGAATTCACTTTTTGAATCAAAGTAGTAACAAGTATTTCAGCAATTAGTCCAATGAATCTCTCCTATGAATGAACCTCAGTGATAGAAACTGATACATTAAATATTTAGTAGAGGTATTTTCCTAGGATTGCCATATAGCTTGAATACAGCATTTGTCAGCAGTGTCCTGGTGGAAATTGCTCCCACCCCCCAAAAAAAAGTTCAGGAAAATTCAGCCAGCCCTTACTAAATTTTCAATTTCAACATTCTCTACTTAAAGTATTTTCTGTATGTTTGATTCCTCCGTTCTGTGTATTTATCTGGAATAAGCAATGACAATGCTCATGGGCCCGTTTCATTTACCCTAGTTTATTTATTAATTTATGCATGAACTCTTAAAAGCTATTAAATTGGTGGATTATTTTCAAAAACTGCTTTCATTATTGTGAACAGCATCAGTTGAAATGGTGCTAAGAAACATAGCTGCACCAACCACACTCTATCAGTGAGTGGAGGACTGACAACCCTCTGGAACAGAGGCTTAGTCATTTTCTCTGCTCATTTTCCTTGTCTCCCACTCTAAAGAAGATACTTGTAGAACATCTTCTAAGCCTTCTAGTTTAGTGCTGCTGCTACAGAATGCCCATAAATCACAATTGTGAGCAATATGTTTGCATTTGTGAATGAGAGTTTGCCATGACTCCTTCTCATTCAAGGAACTGAAACACTCTTATTTTCAATCTTTCCATTTATAAAATCAATCAAAACCTAGTTTAAAAAACATGAATCTTCTATCTAGTCCCACACCTAAGACTCTTTCTTTCCTTGCCATAGGTCAGTCCAAGCCCGCCATGATTATTTCTGTTCAAATAAGTTCAAAACTTCTGCTAACACACAAGAATTATTTTCTTCTTCAAATCCACAATTCCCTGACTTTGGCTTGGCAATTACTTCACCCATTAATTATCATAAAGAGTGTAATCAATTCTGCTGCTAGTAAAAAAAAAAAAAAAAAAAGCTCTAAGGGAAAGTTAAAATCAAGAAATCATATTGTATGTGAAGGATGTCATAAATATACCTTCTTGCATTCAGAGAAAGGTTTAGGCACTAGAAACAGGAACATTAGTATGATTACTGATATTTGTATTCAGGGATCTTGATTTCAGGTTTCTTAGAAAACATAGATAAAAAGGGAAGAACCTACAAATATAGTAGAATAACGAGCATTTCTGCTTAGCATAATGGCATTAGTGGTTTTGCTGCTGGTACTGCTTCCCCATATAACATCTGAAACTCACATTCATATGTGCAGGGTCCAGCACCCACCTCAGCCTGTTCATAGATACTATCAGAATGGAGACCTCATCATTGGTGTCATTGCTTCTCAGAGCTTCATTGTCTCTAGCTCAATAGACTTCACTGAACAGCCACCTCCAACATTGAATGAAGACTTAATGTGAGGAAGTGCTGCCTTTTTTAATTTAAAAAAAATCTATTTCCTACCTTTCCTCCCCCCCCCCCCCTTCTTTTCTACTCGGAGGTGAGGTATTGCAGTAAGATCAGTTTTTGGAGCATCAGGCTCCCAGTAGTGAATTATGGTGTTAGATTGTAAAAATGCTAATACAATTAAATCAATGCAAAAAAAGAGGGGGAGGAGACGCTGATTTAATTTTATATGGCCACAGAAGAAGTGACCTTATGACTCATAATGATTGTGTCCATGGCACTGACTTTGGCCTTACATTAATGCTCAGTGGGGAGGATCCCATTAATCATTGGACTGGAGTAGCTATGCTAGAACTGTTTTAAGCACTATCTTATCTTACTTTATCAATTCCTGCATGTCACCAAGTTACTCCAATTCACTTACACATCGTCCCATCTTACATCTTCCTTTCTCAATTTATGCATTCGTCCTCTGTGAACATTCCTTTCTATGCTGTAGAAGGTAAATGAGATTGCTTCAACATTTGTTTATTTAGTTTGATCGAAATAATAGGAATCTATCAGCCAATGAAAGTGTAATATTCTTTAATTAAATTATATTAGTTCCTCCATCCTCTGTTTTATTTCATCTTCTTGTACAATTCTGTTTCATCAAACTTTTTATTTTGTTATAAATATGTGTAAATACCTATCTATGAAAGGTTAAATAAAAAGGGCAAAAATAATACACTGGGTGATGAATGCTGATAGTGCAGAAAAAGGATGTTATCAGTAGAAAGTGTATTGTATTAGAACACAATTGCAAAGAGTGGATAGGTTTGAGACTGCATTAAATCACATTTTCAAATTAATTTAAATCACATGGATCATTTTAGTACATTCTACTCTAAATAGTACTTTTCCAGAGACGTATCAGTGTTGCATTTTCAATGATAAACAGTGATATTGGCAGCTGTTTAATATTTTTGTAATTTGTATTTGAATAAGCCTCTATACTGAAACAATCCTGATGATGAATAGGCAGATAACAGTGGCATCTTCTTGTTCTTGTTATATCTTTCTGATACACAATGAAACTATCATTCTAGTATAGTACCTAATAATTACCAACACATCCTGGCCTTGGCCTTCTCAGTAAAGGAGATCAATGAAAACCCTCAGATCTTACCCAATATCACCCTGGGCTTCCACATTTATGACAGCTATTTCAATGCCAAGGCGACCTATCATGCCACTATACTACTTACTTCAGCTCTGGAGAGATTTGTCCCCAATTACATATGCAATATCCAGAATAATCTAATAGCAGTCATTGGGGGACTGGACTCTGAAATCTCCCTTCATGTGGCAAATGCCTTGGATATTTACAAGATTCCACAGGTAGGATGTACACGTGTGTTGATATTATTGCCAGTGCTTTTTTTCTGGGGGGATGTAGGGAGACGCATACCCCTAAACATTTTTTGAATCCAAGTTTGGCCTCATTGAAGGGCAGTTTTTCAATATGAATAGGAAAATGAAAGTACCCCTAAACTTTTTTTTTTAAAAAAAAGCACTGATTATTGTTATTTTTATTAAGCTCCATTTATGTGCAGGTTCCCATCCCAAGGCACTTAACATATAACAATATAGAGCAGGGAAGCAACAGAGCAAGTAGTGAAATGGTAGCATAGATAATAGGTAGAGGATTATTATGTCAGTATTAGAGTAGCACATACTTTGGTTTAGTTGCAGTAAGTAAATGGATTGTGGCAGTGGTTCCAAGTCACTGACAATTGCTATGGATCTTGGGAGACCACTTAATAGTTTTTCTGGGTCTTGTGCCAATTGTAATACGCTGTGTTGTATTATATTTAATTGTATTTTACAGACACACCACCAAACCCCTGAATGCAGCTTATGGCCACTTGGACTAAGGGATAGGTAGTTGAAAGGTTTATAACCAGACATGCCCAAATCAAGAGATTTAAGTTCAGGCAAAACATCTGAGAATGTCTTGTTGGGTAGCTACCCAACCCCTTCAAAAATGTACACCTAACTTACAGTTTGATTATAAGGACAATTGATATGTTACTGCAGAAATATAAGCATCTTATTTTCCATTTCCTCTTTCCATTTATCTTTAGCTAACATACAGCCCTGCTCCAGTGATGAATGATAAAACTCCAGGCCTTCCCTTCTACCAGATGGTCCCTAATGAAGCCATTCAGTATACAGGAATTCTTTCTTTACTTCTGCATTTTGGGTGGACATGGATTGGGCTTGTTGTTATGGATACCTCAGATGGAGAAAGATTTGTGCAAACTGTAGTTCCACTGTTTTCCCAGAATGGGGTCTGTTTTGCTTTCATAAAAAGAATTCCAATATTGACTTTTATTGCTGATGTTAAGAATGTGATAGAAGAGGGCGCAAAAATACATGATGAAGTAATGGGCAGCAAAGCCAATGTATTGGTTGCCTATGGAGAATCGTATTCCTTGGCATTTTTTAGATTTCTTCCATATATATCACAACAAGAACACAAGTCAGGTGAATCAAAAGGTAAAGTCTGGATAGGAACAGCGCAGGTGGAACATACTTCATTTGTTTTTCAAAAACCATGGGATGATGAACTATTCTATGGTGCTCTCGCCTTCAGAATTCACTCCAATGATGTCCCACAGTTTCATGAGTTTGTTGAGAGCATAAATCCATTCAACAGGACAGGAGATGGTTTTATCAGGGACTTCTGGCAAAGTGCCTTTGGCTGTGGATTTCCAATTCATGCTCTGGATGAGGAGAAGGGGGACTTTTGCACTGGGAAGGAGAAACTGGAAAGCCTCCCTCATTCTTTTTTTGAAATGAGCATGACTGGCCATAGCTACAGCATCTACAATGCTGTCTATGTTGTTGCCAATGCTTTCCATAAAATGTCCTTCACTAGACTCAAAAGAAGTGCAGTGGTGGAGGAAGAAGGACTGAAACATCAAAAACAACTTTCATTGCTGGTAAGGAACTTAAAGTTCGCTTGTAGATGAACGGAATATTTTGAGTGAAATAATAGATCATAATGTGCAAACAAAATGTTTGCTAAATTCTTTATGATCTCATATTTTCATCTTAATTCTAGTTACCACAATCCAGAATGAAAGAAAAAAAGTTCAACTTTCATACAGCAATCTTGTTTCTTCTTCTTGGGGCCTATGAGGTTAACATTAGCCCAGATCACAGTTAAATACCTGGGGATCAACATGACAGCAAAAAACGGGAATTTATTTAAAGACAACTATGAAAAATGCTGGGCTGAAGTGAAAAAAGATTTAGAAATCTGGTCAAATTTGAAGCTTTCACTGTTGGGTCGTATTGCTGCGGTAAAAATGAATGTATTGCCTAGAATGTTGTTTTTGTTTCAAACATTGCAAATTGTGGACAAAATGGACTGTTTCAAGAGGTGGCAGAGAGATATTTCTAGATTTGTCTGGCAGGGCAAGAAGCCTAGAATAAAATTTAAAATATTAACAGATGCAAAGGAAAGAGGTGGATTTGCCCTGCCAGACTTCAAACTTTATTATGAATCAGCAGCTTTTTGCTGGTTGAAAGAATGGCTGCTTCTTGAAAACACTGACATTTTGGATCTAGAAGGTTTTAACAATGTATTTGGATGGCATGCATATCTGTGGTATGACAAGGTCAAAGCACATAAAGCATTTAAAAATCATATTGTCAGGAAAGCATTGTTTAATGTTTGGATAAGATACAAGGATTTATTGGAAAACAAAACCCCAAGGTGGCTGTCACCGATGGAAGTGAAAGCTCTGAAAAGGCTCAATATGGAGGCCAAATGGCCGAAATATTGGGAAATTTTGGAACAAGATGGGGATAGACTGAAATTACAGAGTTTTGAAAAATTAAAAACAAAGTGCGAGACTGGCTTCATTATTACCAGATAATGGAGGCATATAATTTGGACAAGAAAATTGGCTTCCAGGTGGAAAAATCAAAATTGGAAACAGAACTGTTAGAACCCAAAACTAAGAATTTGTCAAGAATGTATAACTTGCTGTTGAAATGGAATACTCAGGATGAAATGGTGAAATCTGCTATGATTAAATGGGCACAAGATGTTGGACATAACATAATGATGGCTGACTGGGAACAGTTATGGACCACAGGTATGAAGTTTACGGCATGTAATGCCTTAAGAGAGAATATTATGAAAATGATATACAGGTGGTACATGACACCAGTCAAGCTTGCAAAAATCTATCACTTGCCTCATAATAAATGTTGGAAATGTAAAGAAACCGAAGGTACATTTTTTCACCTTTGGTGGACGTGCCCAAGGATTAAGGCTTTCTGGGAGATGATTTATAATGAAATGAAAAGGGTATTTAAATATACCTTTCTGAAGAAACCAGAGGCCTTTCTCCTGGGCATGGTCGGCCAAATGGTGCCAAAGAAGGACAGAACTTTCTTTATGTATGCCACAACAGCAGCAAGAATACTTATTGCAAAGTATTGGAAGACACAAGACCTACCCACTCTGGAAGAATGGCAGATGAAGGTGATGGACTACATGGAATTGGCGGAAATGACTGGCAGAATCCGAGACCAGGGAGAAGAGTCGGTGGAAGAAGACTGGAAGAAATTTAAAGACTATTTACAGAAATATTGTAAAATTAATGAATGTTAGAATGATGTTGGAATGAAGCTAGGTGGTTTAAGCAGTAATGTTATAAAGGTGTAGGTAAAAAAGGACTGATAACAGATGAAACTTTAAAGTTATAGTATATTAAGTTAAAGAATCATGAGAAAACAAAGAGGGAAAGAAATTGCTGACTTAACTAACTGAACTGGAATACAAAAAGGGAGGTATGAGGAGGTCAGGGAAACAAGGATATGAATGTAAGTTATGGAAAGATTGATCCATTTTTCTTTTTCTTTTTTTTCCTTTTTAAGTGTCTTTTACTCTTTTTTGTATTTTGTATTTTCTTGTATTTTTACTTTTTGTTTTTGTGTAATTCTTGTATTTTCTGAAATTTTAATAAATATCATTAAAACAAAACAAAACATTAGCCCAGATCACACTGCTGCACTTTTGGCTTACATCTTCACAGAAATGAACTAGTGTTATTTCCATAGCTTAAAATGATGAATGGGTTGGTGAAATATTTTCATGTGCACAGCTACTCAAATCAGCCCAAACGGTGCTTGTCTTCTGTTCATTCTGCACACACCGTTATTATTTTGTCTGAAACATTCAACCCCATCACTTTTGATCAGGAAAAAATGTTCAAGCAATAAATGGGTTTAAACAACAAAAAAGACTTTTGATTGTGACCTGCATTGTGAGGTTGCTTTATTTTGACAACTGCCACAATTTTTTTTTGGTATCCCTTTCAATGTAGCTCCATCATTCCCTGAGAAGTATCTCATTTAACAACAGTGTGGGGGAAATGGTTTCCTTTGACAATAACAGACAGTTTGTAGCTGGATTTGATGTTACCAACTGGGTTAATTCTGGAGAAGAACCTGTAGTAAAAGTTGGGAAGATGGATCCCAAGGCTCACCCAGGCCAAGCATTCACCATCAATGAAGATGCCATAACATGGCACATTTGGTTTAACCAGGTAAGATTCACCAGCCAGCAATCTGGTAGTTATTCTTTAATACTTGTATGAGAAGAAAGTCACTGTCTTTGTGTCTGTGCGTGTGTCTCTGTGTACTTTTAAAAATTTGCTAAATAATGGCAAACTCCAAAAAAGGTAATTAATGTGAATAGAAACACAATAAATTTATGGAAAAATATATCAACTGACCATTCGAAAACTATTATTAGTTTTGAATATATGATGGGCCTCTGCTGTTTTATCCCAAGAGAACACAGTATTATAGGATGAAAGCATGGAATAGTGAATCCCATGGATGTCTGCACCCCCAGTAAAAGTCTTCTTTCTTTTTCATGACTAGACGCAACCTCTTTCTGTGTGTACAGAGAGTTGCCATCCTGGTTCCAGCAAGAAAGTGAAGGAGGGGGAGCCATTTTGTTGCTATGATTGCATTCCATGTCCAGAAGGGAAGATTTCAGACCAGGATGGTAAGAAATAGACTGTACAAAGATTAGGTCCAAGCTGATATAGCATACAAAATTGTTTTTGTTTTCTTCTATTGGGACTGGATGTGAACCTGAAGAAGAATAAAAAATAATTTGTACTATATCTCTCTGGAGAATCATGTGCCCCTCCTTATATACTAATATTCAAATAGCCATCATTCAGTGTTCAGCTGGGATACATGAATGCAAAAACATATATGCAGATAGGCATGTGCAATATCCCCGCCCCCAAATATCACTAGCCACACTTCTGTGTGATCAAAAGAAAAGTCTGAAGGAGCCTTGTCAGTGCATTTGCCAGAACATGTTTATAAGCCTCCTTGTGAAGATAAGGCCACATTCCTGATCAGGCCACATTCCTGATCATGAGGATACTTGTAAGCATACCAGCAAATGCATGTACACATCGCTAGAAAGGGATGAATTGAGTTTTCCCCATCTCATGTTGCTTTCTCAGATATGCAGTAATAGGTCTGTTACTACAACTGCGCAAGTGATTCAGCTGAATCAAAGTTTTTATCCACATCTGGCAGATTTGGGCTTTTCGAGGTGACACTCAACTTGGCTTGAGACAGCTTTGGATTGTTGAAGGTTGGTGACCCAGAATAATCTAGGGCTGCCCGAGGGAAAGGCATAAGGCAGAAAGGAAAGGCAGGAGTTAGGTGGGAAGAAGGAGATACTGCATAAATAAAGTAGGCCGAAGCTACTTGGCCATTCATGTATTTCCCAGTGAAGGTAGGGATGGGGTGGGGTGGGGAAGCTGTTGGAATTTGGGATGCAGGCTTTCTCATTTAGCTTCTCTTTCCTGGCTATTATCTCCCTCTTCATGGTCACCACACCACCCCTTAATGCAATACCATGCAGGATGAAATCCTTCACTTAGCAGCTGGTAAGCAAGTGATTCCACCCTACAGGATTCAGGTTGCTCCTCCTTCCTACAAGTCATCCCTTCTGGGGAGGTACTTGTGCAGGAGGAATAATATGCTCCATGCGAATCAGATCCTTTACTAAGTATAATATTCAATCCTACCTGCTGCTCCTTCACTAGGGGCTTCTCTGTTGGGAGCGCCCTTGTTAAGAAGCTGAACACCACAGGATTGAACCTTCCTGCTCTCAGTGCGATGATGTCTACTCCCTATATCTCTTTTACTCACACAAACAATTTATTCTTTTGGCTGTAAGCTACCTCAATTCTTTTAAATATAAGTGTTAGGTATAAATAATAAACTCATTATGAACTTGTATCTTGAAAAAGCTACACTTAGAAAACTGGGCCTCTATCATCTATCTCGTATCTATCGCTCTATCTATCGATGATCTATCGCTCTATCTATCATCTATCTATCTATCTAATCTATCTCATCTATATCTATATCTATATCTATATCTATATCTATATCTATATCTATATCTATATCTATCTATCTATATCTATATCTATATCTATATCTATATCTATATCTATATCTATATCTATATCTATCTATCTATCATCTATCTATCATCTATCTATCTATATCAATCATCTCATCTATCATCTATCATCTATTTATCATCTATCTATCAATCTTTGATGAGATGTGTACCACTTATCACTAAGGTAGTGATAGTTAAATCACTATTTTATTCTTTTCCAGATTTGAGTGATTGTTATGAATGCACAGATGAAAATTATCCAAACAAAAACAGAGATTTGTGTATTCCCAAGAATGTAAGCTACCTGACATTTGAAGAGCCTTTGGGGCTCACTTTAGCCTGTTTGTCTCTTTCATGTTGTTTGATCACAGCTCTTGTCCTAGTGACCTTTATGAAGCACCATGGCACCCCTATTGTCAAAGCCAACAACCGGGACCTCACCTACATTCTCCTCATCGCCCTCCTATTCTGCTTCATTTGTGCATTGCTATTCATTGGCAAACCTTGGAAGGTGACATGTCTCCTCCGGCAAACTGCTTTTGGCATCATCTTCTCTATGGCTGTTTCTTGTGTGCTGGCAAAAACCATCACAGTTGTCCTGGCTTTCATGGCCACTAAGCCAGGATCTAGGGTGAAGAAATGGATTGGGAGAAGCCTTGCCTACTCCATTGTCATCTCCTGTTCTGTCATTCAAGCAGGCACCTGCCTTGTGTGGCTGGCAACCAATCCTCCGTTCCCAGATGTTGACACACACTCTGTGTCTGATGAAATTATACTAGAATGTAATGAGAGCTCTGTAACTATGTTTTACTGTGTTCTTGGTTACCTGGGCTTCCTGGCTATTGTTAGTTTCACTGTAGCTTTCTTTGCCAGGAAGTTACCTGACAGTTTCAATGAAGCCAAGTTTATCACTTTCAGTATGCTGGTCTGCTGTAGTGTTTGGTTATCTTTTGTTCCAACTTACTTGAGCACTAAAGGGAAATACATGGTAGCAGTGGAGATCTTTTCTATCTTAACCTCTAGTGCTGGGCTGCTGGGCTTTATCTTTTCTCCAAAATGTTACATTATTTTGTTGAGGCCTGAGCTGAATGACAGGGGCCTGCTAATAAGAAGAAAGTCTTAAAGAAAGTCCTTGTCTGTGTCTTGGTTATTGCCTATGATACAGTGGTGTTTGTTGGCATTTATGTAATATATTTTCATGTGTTGCTGTAAGAAACAGCATTATGAATATATACCAACTCACTTTCCTCAAGACTCTTTTTCAAATTCTTCATGCATTCCATAAATTCCATAGATTTCAGACATGTTTAGAAGTTTGGATTCACAGAAGTTTGGATTCAATGGACTGTCATAAAAGTCAGACATATGATAGCATAATGCCCTAATCTAATATATGCATTTATTTATTTATTTCTATACTGTTTGGTCATTAAAACCTCAAAGCTAGGGTTCTCACTCATCTGCCTGCTATGGCAACAGTAGTGCCTCCCAGCGTCTCCTGAACAAAATTGGGAGTAGTGGTTACCTCTGCCAGTGGAAGTTACACCAACCTAATTTATACCAGCTTCATATATATGCCAGCTCTCTTACAGAACTATCATAACTTTAGGAAGCCAGCATGAATTACCTCTAATCCAAGCTGTTTTTGACAGTGTGCCTGAGCCAGCCTAAGCTGGCATAGGGCACAAGAAAGAAAAGTGGGAGGCATCTGAAGAAACTAGTGTGGCTGCATAAGGCTGAGGTTTAAGAAGGGCATGCATAAGAAACGGAAGAAAGGGGAAATCATGAAGGAAGAGTATATATGTCTAGTCAACAGTTGAAGAGAGAAGGTCAACCAGGCCAAAACTCAGAATCAGCTCATGCTTGCAAGAGTGGTTAAAAATAATACTAAAAATTCTTCAGCTATATTTGAAGCAAGAGGAAGAACTAGCATGTCATTCAAGATGACCTTAACAGACTGGAGACGTGGACCCAAGCTAACACCAAGAATTTCAATAGGGACAAATGTAAAGTTCTACACGCAGGAAGGACTAGATGCACAAATATAAGATGGGGACATCCTATTGCAGGTAGTGTGCAGCATGAGGCAACTAGGTGCAAAAAAACTGAGTCCTTTTGGAATGAAACAATGTCCAGACCCATTAGATTGCTCTAAACTTCACTTGCAGAACTTTCTTCAAAACAAAACAAAAACATTGAAGGTACATCCAAATAATTCCACACAAGAATTGTGCTGTCTAGCACAGGCTCAGCATCTTAGAAATGAAAGAATTTATAATCAGAGTTGACAAAAATAGCTCTGTCTCACATAAATTCCATTAGCCTGCATTCCAGCCCTTAAGGCTGTTGAGCTCCCAGAGAGGCTTCTTATTCCCACAAAGCCTGAGAACAAAGACTCAGCCACCAGCATGACGGTGAATTTGCAGTTCAATAGCCTCCCATGTGATCTAAGGTTAATCTCTCATGAATTATCTACTAGAGAACAACAGCATTTAATTATCAACCCATCAAGGAATTCAGAGACCACTTTGTATACTTCAATGGAATTTCTCCACATTAAAGCCATCAGTAATACACATTTAGGCATTCCCCATTTCAATGTTAATTAAGCAATTACCCTTAACATCTGGCCTGCCAGTAGTGCATGTGAAAAGGATCTAGGGGTCTTAGTAGACCACAAATTTCATATGACTCAACAGTGTGATGCAGCTGCAAAAAAAAAAAAAAGCCTATTCTAGGCTGCATCAACAAAAGTATCCAGATCAATGGAAGTAATAGTCCTGTTCTATTCTGCCATAGTCAGTGCTATCAATGAATACATTAATTTCTTTTGTAGCTGTAGACTGAAGGCTTGTATGTCTAGTATTCATTCTTTGTTGAGGTAATCCCAAGGCCAGAAATCATTTCCTATTAAACTACATGCAAAAGAAAAAATCCTGTTCAGATGTAGCAAACATGTATCCTTTAGGAATCCCATAGGGAATTTACAACTTTGAATTTCTGATTATTATCCTTTTATTATTATTATTGTTCAGACTATAATTAACCACTGCTTGTGAACAACCCCTTTGTAATTTTAGTTCCATTATTAAAATTAATAACACTATGTGGCAATTGTCATATAAACCACCATAGAACACTTAGAGGGATTATTAGGGATTAGAAAGATGCATTTATTCACCAGCCTGCTTATGGGGGTCTTGCATTTGACATCGTTGGCCTGAGAATACTCTAAACATTCAATGCGTACCACTGTAATCAAGCAGACTGCTGTGGCAATGTTATAAACTTAAACAGGGAAATATTTATGTAGAAGGAATATTTGCATCCTTGTGCAGGATGGTTCTAGTGCTACTGCTGATACTGCTTCCTCACATGCCATACAAGGCTCACACTGTGAAATGCAGGATCCAGTATCCACACTATCCTCTTCACAAGTATCATCAGTTAGGAGACCTCATCATTGGAGGGATTGCTTCATATGGTGGCTTTATTGCCTATTCGATTGAATTCACTGAAGAACCTCCATCGCCACCTTTGGAGGATCTTATGTAAGGATTTAACTCTTGCTTGTTCTTAGTTCCATTTGTTTTGACAGTAGATTGGTCCGTGCTAGAGTCACAGCCTCTGAACTGTGACGTATTAGCTGAGGCTGTTCAAATAAATTAAAGGATACCTTATATTTTGGGTACAAAAGGCTGCTTAATTCTATATTGTCAAACCAGATTTGCATGTAGGTCTGGTATGGATTGGGATCATTAAGATGGGGAAAGTGGTTTAACTTCTTTCAAAACTTCTTTTTTGCATTATGAATAGTCTCCCAGATTTATTTACTGATAAGGGAAAGTATTCACTTATCAACTCTACCATTCCTACACTGTAGCTGCTTTTCAAAAACTTCTTGTATTATATCTCTTTAGTGTTCATGTAACGCTTTAAGAAATTTGGTTTCACCAGAAGCGTGTGACATAATCAGTCCTTGATTAGATTTATGATACTGTGAGATTTCTCCCTCACCCTTAGAGTTTTACTGCCAGTTTCCATTCCTTCTGGTATTTCTGAGACTTACTGTAGTTTCATCTGTCGACAGTCCTGTTGACAGTCCTATTGACAATATATTCATAAGCAACTTGGTAAATAGTTAGAGTTGTGTCCAGCTAAGTCCTTTTCAGAATAGACTCACTGGAATTAACAAGCCTGAGTCCTGTCCATTGAGTTCAATGGGTCTTCTCTGATTAGCTAACTTAGGATAAAATTCATAAAATGTGGAATACCAATATCATTATTGCTATTGAAGAAATTACTGTATAGGATTTATAAGAAGAAATTATCAGATTTTGAATATGAATTCAAATATATGTAAGGCCTGCACATCTTGAATGAGAGTGAAGCATTGCAACCTGGAAGCATCCATTCTTTGTTGTGGGTCATCTCAAGCCCAGGAGTCTTGGTTATTGTTATTGATTTAGTATTTATATATACTAAAGCTAATTATTTCCTTCATAGCAATTATGCTTGTGGAATATGCTTCTGATACAGAATCTGACTCTCATTGTAGAGTATTGCCTAAGAATTACCAGAACATCCTGGCCTTGGCCTTTGCAGTAATGGAGATTAATGAAAACCCTCATATCTTACCCAACATTACCTTGGGTTTCTGCATTTATGACAACTATTACTATGCTAAGTGGACCTATATTTCAACAATGTTGCTTATTTACACATTGGAAAGATTTTTTCCAAACTACAACTGTGATATACAGAATAAGCTAACTGCAGTAATTGGTGGACTGGACTCCCAAACATCTCTCGATATGGCAACTATTTTGGATGTCTACAAGGTTCCACAGGTATGATATGTGAGTGGTGTATGGCAGATTAATAGTTTATTCATACATTTCCATTGTCAGATAGCTCACTCTGTGAATTTATTAATAAGTTAACAGAACATTTTTGGAAGCTTCTTCTGTGGGACTACATTTTATTCCTAGAAGTGTCTAGGAAGAGTTTGTGCCATAAATAATTTGAAGAGTTTCAAAACTGGTTGTTTATTGACCATTAATGAGTATACAGTTACACAAAACTTGTGTGGAGGTTACATTACATTGGCTGTGCAATGAGCATTCATCCCAAAATATTTGCATGCATTTATTTATTTATTTGTAAAAATCAGTGAGGTATACAATTATAAATTAATTAAAACCCCTATAAATAATAATTAAAGTGACTAGCTGAACAGCTGCAAAGGCCTGTTGATATAAAAACGTTTTTGATGGGCACCTGAAAGTCAAAAGTGCAGGTGTCTGCCAAATCTTTGCTGAAAGCGTGCTCCACTTGTGATACTAACTGTCTGACTCAAGCTGAAGTTAAACCTAACAAAGTTTATTGGTTGCAAGCCCATCAAGACATTCTCATACACAAACAATTAAAACAATAATATGCATACATGCAAATACATTATGCTGTACTAGAATATGATTAAAATTATAGCATATCTGAAATTCATTGACAATGGCAGCTGTGAGCTAAATAAACATATCTCAAATGCTTCGATCAACTGGAATTGATAATTAAATGCTATTTTTATTTTCTAATCCATTTCACCTTCACATGTATCTTCAGCTAACATATAGCCCTGCTCCAGTGATACGTGATAAACACCCAGGCCTTGCCTTCTACCAGATGGTTCCCAAGGAAGAACTTCAGTATGAGGGGATTCTCTCTTTGCTTCTGCACTTCCGATGGTTT